TGAAGTTTTTTTTTAATTTTTTTTTTTGATTTTTTTTTTTTTTTTTTTTTTTTTTTTTTTTTTATGTAAATTGATTATTGTGGTTGTAAAATTTTCCTTTCAAGATTGTGAGTTGTGACAGCCAGACTCCCAGTCCCAACTCCCAATTCCCAATGTAGGTTTCGGGCTTCTTGCTTTCAGCATTTCAATTCCGCAATTTGACGCCTTCTCGACATATATAATTGCGGCCTTGTCGACTTATATAATTGTTTTAATGTTAATTTTTTAAGTTAGCAATGGGTTGCATAATATATCATTGAATTTTGTATTTACGTTGATTTCGCCGAGGGGCCTAATTTACAGACTTCGCCTAAGGCCCCGACAATCACAGGACCGGCACTATATATATATTTATATAATGACTGATGGACCGGGTTGCTCTGGTGTAGTTGGCTTCTTTTATGATATTGGTAAGCTCTTTCAAGAAATATATGTGAATTTTTGAAAAATCTTGAACGAGTAGGAGATGGGGGAAAAATTGGGGCGGGATATGTTGCGGGATTTTATTAATGTACTTCAAGAATCAAAATCCACAAGTAGATCTTCTCAAAACTTAGAATAAAATCTCATTAATTGTAGCGGGATTTTATTAATGGCAGAATAAAATCTTGAAAGAATACAAATTGCCAAAAATTGTAAATGGATATGTGGACACCATAATTAATTGGATTTGCCCAAACTACATTAGAGATGGCAACGGTTCGGTTCGGGGTCGGTTCGGCCAAAACCATCACCGAACCATCAATTTTTTGGCTATACCATAATCGCACCATAACCACGAAAGTCGGTTCGGTTCGGTTCGTATCTCGGTTCGGGTCATTAATAACCACGAAAATAAATTATTTTTAATTGGTCCATCCGTCGAATAAAAAGAAAAATGTATGAAAAAAATCAATGAAAACAAAAACATGATACTAAGTCAATGTAGCAAACAAAATTTCAAATGAAAATGCAAAAAAATCCCAATTCTCAAATACAAAATCCAAATTTAACAAACAATATTCAATAACTCAAAAAGCTCAAACCTCAATTCATATTCAATCTTCATTCTTCCCCACAACTCTTACTGGAATACGTCAAAACTCAAAGTTGATTCCTATATCGTATAATAATCCATAATGTTCTTAACTGAAGATTTAAACAAAAAAATATAACTCTTTGTCAACATCCTCGTCACCAAACTTTGGTTTCTGTAATTAAAGAATTCAATTTCTTGTTTATGTGTTGTTTAGGCCAAAAGTCATCAAACAGGAGAGAAATTAAAGTCATTTATCTCTAAAGCGGCCACCAATTGTAAAAAACTGAAAACGTTGGATATACTTTGGCCAAATCTTGTGCAAAATTCACAACAAATTCAAATAGACAAATACAAATCATCAAAAAAGAAGATGAGAAACTCACCATTGGCAGAAGCCTGAAGGTCAAAGGAGAAGAAAATAATGCAAATGGGCGGAGGCGGAAGAGACGACAGTCGGCACTTGACAGACCCAGAAGGCAGGAGTTGAGATTCCAGTTTTCCAATAAAATGTTTGTGCCTTTATATTAGACTGTTAGGGTTCAATGTTGGGTACTTGGGTTTAAATTTAATTTGTTAATGGGCTAGAATTTTTGGGCCAAAGAAATTAAGTAGTTAATGTAGAAAAAATCAAAAAATTATGTAAAACCCAATTATTATTAATTTATTATTTTTTCTAACGATTAATCAGTTCGGTTCGGGGCGATGGTGTAAATACCATACCCGCCCCGTCCCGAACCGGTTCATTAAAATCAAATACCATATCCGCCCCATTGCATCATCAGTTCGGTTTTTTTCACCTCATTCGGTTCGGTTAACCGCGATTTTCGATTTTGACGGTTCTAATTGCCATCCCTAAACTACATAGGTCAAAAATTAAAGCTGTCTTTTCTATTTCCAATTTCCTTTCACTACAACATTTTATAACATTTAGATATAGCATTCTTATTAGCAATTCTATAAAATAAAAATGATTTTTTTTATCTAAACATATATAATAGCATTTTTTAAAAGCTGCACTAAAATTAAGCGGAAAATTCTACTTATATATAATTATTGCACATAATGGTATCCACAATGTGATGTGACAATCATCCGATTGTTGATGTGCAAGTGTGAGATTTGAATTAAAGGTTGGATCCAGTACTACATGTAATTATGGACATTATTATGTAAACAATTATGTACATATAACACATTCCAAAATTAAGCAGCCCAAAATTCTTCCTTTTATATTTTACTCAAATATTGTCCATCACTTTTTATACCCTTTTTTTCTTCTTTTTTCCTTTCGTCAAATCACCTCTTCCCTGCCATTTCTGCATCTCCCTGCATCCCTTCCCATATAAAAGGATCCCCTTTTTTGTTTACATTTTTTCATCTTTCAAATTCCCCAAATTGAAATTCTCTAATCAGTTCAGTGTTATGAAAAGAAGCAAGGAGGTCAGCTGGAATGGGGAAAAAGAAAGAGAAGAGGAAGATCAGAGCAAAACAAGAAGAAGAAGAAGAAGGAAATGCAGCCAACGGTTTTCCCTAAAATTCAAATTTAGAAACAGTGTCATTTTAATTTATTGTAAAATTTAAACAAGTTTCTTATTTTGTCTTTCTTTTACCTTTTTGTTTTCTATTATAACCTAGAGATGGAATTGGGAGAGGGTAGTGAACGATTATTGTGAAGAAAACCCCTTTCTCTGAACTCTCTCACTCTCTCTCTCTTTATCTAGACTCTTCCTTCTCTTATCTGTTTCTTATCTCTTTAATTTCTTCTAGGTGTTGTAATCTACTTGGTTATTGCAATTAATATACTGTGGTTTGAATTTCCCTTTCAATATCTGTGTTATTGTTGCTAGAATTTCTGTGCGTGATTTTAATTTCCTCTCTGATCTTATCTTCTTCTTCTTCAAGTCCACTTTCTTATTTTCTATTAAATTCTGACTGTACTCAACACTTTGTTACAAGTAAATCAATTGGGTGTTAAGTTTATTCAATTTCTGGTTTATTATTGTGTTTGATTGTGCCCCAGGTTTAGAGTTGAAGTTCAGCCACAACAATTTGGTATTAGAGCAGTAGGTGAGCTGGGAAGAGAATGGGAACTCATGGCAAAAATCAAGTAGAACAATTTAAAAGGTTTGAAAAGTAACTTGGATTTCTTAATGTGACTGTAAATACATAGGATCAAATGTTGAAAGGGGTCTGTGCTAAGCAAGACAGGATGGAGCAATTGATGGGAGAAATGAACAGAACAAATAAAGTGATGATTTCAATGTTGACCAAAATGACTGGGGCTAAATTAGTCTCCAAAGATCAGTTCAATCATTACAAATGTTCTGTTGCGGACAGAGATGAAGCGGTGTATATGGAAATTCCAATGGTGAAAGGTAAAATGGAAAATGGAGGTGAAATGGCTGTTTTTGATATTGAGGATTTAGAACGGTAAAAATGGTTCACGAGGGCAGGTTCATGTATTAGATGGTGATATGGAAGTTGTCGAAACCTAGTCAGTGGAGGCTGTGTACGATGAGTATGCTGAAGATAAATTACTGGTTAATGAATATAGCTTACTTATGGAAACCCAAGTAGTACTGGAGAATGATATAAATTTGGATATTGATGTGCCTGTTTCTGGTGGTAATTTAAGTTAATATGCCCAATTTCTGCCAAAGTGCATGGGGACTGATGCAGTAGGGAGGAGGGCTTTGGTAAAAGTATATATGATGTGATCCAAGAGCCGAGCTCAACAAAGACGATCCTAGGATAAGATCCATTGATTATCAAAGGTGGACCGATGACATGATTGAGGGCAAAGTGAGTCAATCAAGCTATGAGGTTACTAGTTCAATCAACAATTGATGAGGCGATGATTGTGGCACAAAATGAGGCAACTTTCATGTTGCGGTCAAGAGCCGAAGTCCATTGGATCAATACATTACAAGCAGACGAAGGAAATGCTCTTGGGAAGAACTATACGACTTCAAGTCATACAGTTGAATGTATAGAGGTAGGGATTTGGCGGTGGCAGTTCAATTGAACTATGCTACCACATGCCAATACACTATGCGGTTGCGTAGTACAAAATTTGGGACACGTTTTCAATTTTTGGTAACTTTTCTACTTTCCATAAAATTTGATTCTAATTAGTATTTTTTTTTTCAGTATTTGGAGCATAATTTTCGTCCAAGACAATACTTTTGGGGTTGTTATAAATACTTTATCATATTGATTGTAAGAACACCATTTGACATTATTATTGAGAGAATTAATTTGAGAGGCAATTCTTGCTTTCCAACCTTTGTTCTTCTTAAAACAATTTTCGAATTTATCAAGGTGCATATCTTGTGGCATTCAAATTCGGGTGTGAGTCTTTGGTTGTGTGATCAAGAGATCCTTCATATTACTATTATTGTGGGGTTGCTTGGTTTGTCATCTTGGGATTCAAATCCGTAAATCGACTTTAATTCTTGGCTTCCCTAGGGTTTAACAATCTTTTGTGGGTTCATTAATGATCGTGCTATCCGAGTTCAAATCAATGTGGTTCTCTATGCTATGTCGAACAAGCACTTGATAGGGTGCTCAAATCAACCGTTGATATAATTTCACAAGGAAAATCTACCACTCAAAATGAGAGGGTCAATGGACGAAGTAATCAATGTAAAGTAGTTGGCTACAGGAAAGTTAGCGTGTCTTACATAAAGAGAAACCTAGACGATGAGATGAATGGGACATATGTCACATGATTACGTCCAAAGAATAATGCGGTAGTTGTAGTACAGTTTTGGGGTGTTGATTCTACATGAAGATGGAAAAATCACTCAAAGAATTCAAGAAGGTCGATTGTCCTCTTGAAATGTGTAGGAGAATTCAATGTTAAAGTAATGAAAATTAATATTAATGTCTTGAGATTGTGAAGCATTAGAATTCCCTCACTTGGATTGGGTCAATCACATCAATTATTCATTTTCATAAGTCAATTAGAGAATTTTCATCACAACTCTCTAATTGGAAGATTTAACAATAAAGATCAACGTAATTCACTATTGTAATCCTAGAATCTAGATTTATAACACATTCGCACATTTTTATTGGAACAAGATAAAAAATAGACCATATACATTAAGCATAAGGCGGTAATCAATCCACCAGTATAGTAATATTAAGATTAAAATTCAACAATTATCGCAATCATTCGATAGAAAGAGCATGACTAGATCTATGAAGGATTCGATAAAAGTTAAACCAATCTTAGCAATAATTAATTGAAAATTGAAACTCAACAAATAGTTTAATTTAACAATGGAAAAAGCGTGACTGAATCCATGAAAAATCATGAAATGTTAAATCAATTTCAATGTAAATTCATAAGAATGAAAATCTAAAAACTATAATTGTTTAATAATGACAAATCAGAATACATGAAATAATGGATGTGAAATCACCAGATCCAAAGAGTTCCTTCCTAGTTTCACCTCGATTTTAGTTCTTCATGAAATTTCTTGAGCACCAAGATGAGAAAATTGAGTATGGAGGCATTCTCTAGGTTTTGGACATGTTTTGGAGCTTATATATTGTGTACAAGATTTGTTTTTATAAGAGGTTGAATGAAATAAGGAAAATGAAAATCTCACCTCGGGAATGAACTGTACGACCATATGGTATTAAGTGTTGCTGTCACACAGAACAAATATTTTCAACCCTGAAGTTCCCTAGGGCCTTCTGTGAGACCGCATGGTTCAACCATTTTCCCGTCGGGCAACTTTCAGTATTTTGGTTATAACTTTCTTTTCGATGTCCGATTGAGGCAATTCAAAGTCATTTGGAAAGATAACACAAATGGCTACAATTTTCTATAAATAGGATTTTCCCAATTTGACTGTTTACTGGGTCAAAAATGAATCTCAATCTCCATCTGAAAATCTGGAATATCCTTTTGTTGTTGAAAATTGATTTGTGAAATATTATGGTGATATTTCACTTCTTTTGACTTTTAATTGCACCCAATTGACCTATAACACTCTTGAATCTTCATTCTATCACTTGTCTCATCTATAGATTATTAGCAACTTGTTCCCTGAACTTTAACCTTTTTCCAATTTCGTCAATTTTATCTCTGTTCTTCTAAATTCCAAAGTATCATCCATTTGCAACCTAAATCAAAATATATGGGTACTTAGTACATTTAGGTGTCAATTTATCACAATAACGCAAGTATAAATGGATGAATTACTTAATAATTTGCGATATTATCACACCCCCAACTTGCTTATTGCTAGTCCCTAGCAATTTAATGCAAAACAAGACAAATAAACGATTGGATCATGCTACAGTTTAAATTGTTGAGTTCTAATTCAACTGCAATTTATGCTCTTTTCAAACTGAACATACCAGAAGTCAACAGTGTCATGATCATCAGGATATCAAGAACAATTACAAAAAATGTGAAAGTGTTTCCAGCAAGCTATAGCCCTCTTATCGCCAACCCTAACACATGCAACTTCAAGTATTTTTCGAGCTAAAGGTTTAGCCACATAACTCATGGATATCAATGTGTTTAGTGTAGGGTTTCCCTCTATGGAGCTGAGAAAGGTATACACTCAAAACATGGAGGCTTAAATATTTATGAACAAGTAACAAGCAAACATTGATCATATGATAGGCACACTGTCAATTGAGAATTCATTAATTTCTTAACACAACCCTACCTGGGATCAAAATAGCCAATGCAAAAGGTTGTAATGAGGGTTGAGTTAGGAGATATGCAAAGAGGGGTAAAGAGAATTCAAGGACTTCCAAGTATATAGCTAGACATTTCATCACGTATTTCAATAAATCTCATCCTTTAAATTAGTACATTCCTCATCATTTCAATTCCCAACATCAATCCTCATTTTCATTTCTTCATTTTTTTTTTCTTTTTTTCTTATTCTTCTTCTTTTTTTTTTTTTTTTTTTTTTTCTTCTTTTTTTTTTTTTTTTTTTTATTCTTTTTCTTTTTTTTTTTTTTTTTTTCTTTTTCTTCTTCTTTTTTTTTTTTTTTTTTTTATTCTTTTTCTTTTTTTTTTTTTTTTTTTCTTTTTCTTCTTCTTTTTTTTTTTTTTTTTTTTATTCTTTTTCTTTTTTTTTTTTTTTTTTTCTTTTTCTTCTTCTTTTTTTTTTTTTTTTTTTTATTCTTTTTCTTTTTTTTTTTTTTTTTTTCTTTTTCTTCTTCTTTTTTTTTTTTTTTTTTTTATTCTTTTTCTTTTTTTTTTTTTTTTTTTCTTTTTCTTCTTCTTTTTTTTTTTTTTTTTTTTATTCTTTTTCTTTTTTTTTTTTTTTTTTTCTTTTTCTTCTTCTTTTTTTTTTTTTTTTTTTTATTCTTTTTCTTTTTTTTTTTTTTTTTTTCTTTTTCTTCTTCTTTTTTTTTTTTTTTTTTTGATAACTTTCCTCTCTTCTTCATTTAAGTTTTATCACTTCACTTGAGCACTTATTAACTCTTATCACGTTTCTTCTCAAATGGATATTTAATACCTACTATACACTTAGAAGCATAAAGGTAGAAAAATGAGTGTTTATAGACTTCATTTTAATGTGAAGAGATATGGATAACATAGGCGCATGAAATGAAATGGTTATATATGTGTATTGGCTCAAAGTGGCTACTATGGTGTTATAATTATGAAAAAGAACTGGCTTAAAAGGCTCAAATTCAATCCTAAATTGACTATCATCATTTCTCAAGTATAATCCACTATCTTATCGCAAGCCGTGTAATATTATTATCAAAAGAAGTTTTCAATTCACAAAATCAATGAACGCTTATTACATTTTTAGTATATTGTGGCTCCAATCCTCACCAATTCTCACATGAGAACTTCAGTAAGAGACTTTTCTAGCTACATGTGTTAAACTACCATCTTACTACAAGGCTTGTGTCCCCAAAAAGTATTTAGCAAGTGTCTCAACATCTAGACTCTCATTAACAGAGTTAACTCTTAGTGGTATATTTTTTCATTCAAGAATACAATCATACAGCAAATCAGAGAATTAAAAAAAATATTCTTAAAAATCAATCACAACAAAATTTTATGATAATTATGCAAATCATATGCAATTCACAACAAAATCCAAATTGATCATCCGCCAACCAAAATTTTCATTGTCTTCAATGCATAACATGTATGCTAAATGAAAAGAAGGGAAAGGTATCACCTGAGTATTGCAGTGAATTAACAAAAGCTAGCAGGATAGGAAGCCTAAAAGTTCTTGAGGGAATGATAATGCAAGGAAAAAGAACAAAAATTATTAGAATATTAATGTAAAAAGAAAAGAAAGGAATGAACTTCTCTTGGGTTACCCCCTAAACAGCGCCTTTGTTTATTGTCGTTGATCTGACCTAATGTTTCTTTCTTCAGCCCTCATCCAGCCAAGGCGATTTCAATCTTCTTGGCAGTGCACTAAGCTCATTAGACATAATTATCAGTGACGTTCCATAATCATGAAATTCTGCAAAAATAGAACAATTATAAGCATACTCTTCATCATTATAATTTGCTGAAATTTCAAAATTTAAGAGAGAAGAGTTCAAGGTGTCATAGTTAGAAGTTGCTTGTCCAAGAAACACATCCTCAAATTCTTCATAGGTGAGTGCATCAATCATATAAGTTTGATGACACTCATCATCCTTCTCTGGTTGTTAGTGATGCATGTTTCGAAATGATAGCTTCATAAGACCATTCTTGTAATTAATCAGAGCATTAGCTGTGGCAAGGAAAGGTCTACCAAGAATAATAGTTGAGCATGCAAATTAAATTGTCTACGTTCATTTGTGATAATATAAGTTGGGCATTTGCATTGAGCAGTACAGTGTAACACAACTTATATTTTGATCATAAATAATTTGTTTACAATCAATATATAAAGGTTGGCATATTGTACTGGAAGGTTGTAGTATTGATCGATTTACTATTTAGGTTTTTGATTTGTCTTTATCATAGAAATAGTTAAAGATGACACTAGTACACTTGGAGTATACTAAATTGACCATATATAGCATGACTATGTGGAGAATTAAATTTCATTTTTTGAGGCAACAATTAACATTTAATGGTTCTTTAATTTATC